GAAGATACAGCTGGGATGGAGCTAGTTGACTTTAAAATGTAGAAACGTAAAATTGTTATGCAATAACCGATAGTAAATGATTTTCAAGTGGTGGAAAATTTTTCATGTTGATTTAACAAATAATTTCTTAATAATCGTAGTACTATCATAATATTTAATAATGAAGGAAGTATTCTACTCGAAGTTAGATGCCTATCTAAGTGCATTGAGCGTCAGATGACAATCAAAATACTTGATAACAGCTGGAACGTACAACAAAATACTACAAGTACTATTAAACGAAAAAAAATACGATGCACAATTTAATTTTTGGGCAAAAAAACGTTTTACTGTTGTTAAACTTGGTGGTCAACCCACAATTTATTGCATAAAAGAAAAACTATCTGTTCTGAAATATGAAAACTTATTTGAAACAATTAATGAATGTTATATTGCTGTTGGTCATTTAGGTAGAGACAAAACTTGGCATGAGGTAAGCTAATGTCAGATTGTTTGATATTTTGCAAGACATTTTTCTTCGTAATTTAGATTAAAACTCGGTTTGCTCAGATACCGCTTGAAATAGTCAAGTTGTCCATTGGTTTATGTGATCACTGTGTATCACGAAGAATTTTTCCTAAACCTGTTATTGGGAAACCAATAGTGTCCGTTGGTTTTATGACAAGAATGTAAATGGATTTTATTGACATGCGAAGTAATGAATACAATGGTTTTAAATGGATATTTCATGCCAAAGACCACTTCTCCAAATACTCATGGCTTTTTCCAATGATATAAAAGGAAGCCAACAATGTAGCAGATATGTTACAATCAATTTTTTACCAATTCGGACCACCAAAAATTCTTCAATCAGATAACGGTAGGGAGTTTGTGGCTAAGGTGATAACAGATTTAACAAAAATTTGGCCTGGTTTATTGATAATAAATGGTCGACCAAGACATCCTCAATCCCAGGGGCTGGTGAAACGGGGCAACTCTGTTGTTCAACAACTACTTAGTAAATGGTTAAGTAGAAATAATACATCAGATTGACCTTCAGGTCTTGGTTCAGTAATGCTAGCTATTAACACTAGTGTAGCAAAAAGCACAAACAAGACTCCTTTTCAAGTAGTTTTTGGCCAACATCCATGTACAGAGGACGATATTTTGAAAACCATTTTCAATCGTCAACAACAAGGTGGTATTAGTACAATGATTTTAGAAGAAGATTTATCTGATGACATTGCAAGTATAAGTAGGGAAGTGGATGAAGATGAATCTCGATCAACTTCTGTTCAAGGTGATGATAAGACTGAACAGTTAAATACGAATGAAAAAATGATACATAATGAAGATCAAGAAGAAGATAATGATAAAGATGATATACAACAAGATATTGTAATTGATCATGAAGAATGTGTCGATGAAACTGAATTGCCACAGAATAAAGCTAATTTAAATATTAATTTAAATTCTTAAGATCAATATCGACGAGTTCGAGAAGAAGCCGAAGAATCATATCTTAAACATGCACAATCACAACTCATCAAGTATAAAAAAAAATTCAGCTAAACGACAACGAACGTATGATTTTGGTGATATTGTTGGATTAAAAGTTTCAGATGTTGATCGTACAAATACTTCCTCCACCATTTTACCATGTAAAATAATTGATAAATATGTCCGAAATGGTGAATTTATCTACACAGTTGCTACAAAAGATGGTATTATAAAAGAACATTTTGACTCATTGACGTTTTTAGATCTCACAACAGCGAATTTTGGATCATTACGAGCTATTAATATTGATGAATTACCTACAATTACTTTCATTCAAGCAAGTCAAATTTACACAAATTTTAAATCAACAGAAACTTGTAAATGTTTCGGTAATTGCAACACAAATCGATGTTATTGCAGGAAAAACAAACGAAAATGCTGTACAAAAATGTCACGGCGATAAAAAATCAAAATGTAAAAATTGTTAGACCTGTTATACATCTCGTCCTATTAGATTTTTCGATTTCCTTGTTCACTATTGATATGACTTTGTTCAATGTTCATTCCTTTTTCTCAACTTTATCTATTCAATAAACATTGTATCTAGCATAGAAATAAACATTTACTATACGAAAGTCAACTAGTTGACTTTAAAATTGGAAAGACAACTAGCTCCATCCCAGTTGTATCTTCAATTTTAAAGACAATTAGTTATCTCTAAAATTGAAAAGGCAACTAGCTCCATCCTAGTTGTATCTTCAATTTTAAAGACGACTAGTTGCTTCTAAAATTGAAAACTCAACTAGTTGCCTTTTAAAGGCAATTAAATTTTATAGTCAACTCCGACAAATACATCTATGTCATCCTGCCGTGATGTCATCGTATAGAGATCTTTAACATTATTTGTAATAAATTCTGTTGTTGATGTCAAGTAGCCATTGGAAACAATTTTCTAATATTCCGATGACATCATTGTCATTAATAATTGTTGTTTCATGAGTCATTTTCCAATAGATTGTTGCTATTGTGTACTGATTTCTTTTATATTTAAGACAAATTATAACACTTTCTATTGTATATTTTTCAATACAATCAGATACTTCAATAATACCAGCATTTATCGATTGAGTTGATGAGGATAAAGATAAAGGACAGTACATAGAAGGAGATAAAACATAAATATGAATGACAAAGAGCAACTAAACATACACAAACAACTTCTAATATCGTAAGTATCTTGTACATTTTGCTTTTGCTGGAGGTACTTAACATAAAAAACACTGGATGTGAAATACCTGCTAGAGGTAAAATGTGGATGAATAATCGACTCATGTGTGGCTCACATTCGACGACCTTCTCTCATGTGTTTGCCTTTGCAAGGAACGAAAAAGAAAGAAAGAAATTTATATTGGTCGTATGTTCAAACAGAACGTTTTAAGTGTAGTTGCTTTATTTTACTCACGCAAAATTTTTTTTCTTCACTTTTTCGCTTGATGCAATAATTTAATATGCATTATTTTAGGTCAGCACCTTCTATTCAGATGTATACAATGCGTCACTTTTTTGAAACAATTCAACTATGATTATTTTTTTATTTGTAAGTTAATTAATATAAAAATACAAATATTTTAAATGAATGAGTTTTTTTTCTTGTAGAAATGCATCGACAATGTTATGGATGGTTTCGTCGAAAATCGGAAGTTAGGTTTATCAACTAAAAAATTTTCTAAGACTTGAATGAATTCTATTTTAGGATTCTTTTTGTCCGTTGGCCTAAAAGGTAAAATAGCTTTTTTTTTAAATATTGTATTTAAATTATCATTTGGATTGCTTGTAGATACAGCTGAAAGAAACCAGCGTTTGTTGAAACAACCGAATGTTCGCATTCTTTATAATCTCGATGACAGTATTTTGAAAAACTCATTCTCAGTGAGTTTATTTTTTTTTAATGAATTTAATTTTGTCTCATATTGGATATATTTTTTCAGCGATCTCCTTTTCGACATTAAAACCTTGGTTTGCATTATCTAAAAATTTCTTTTGTTGGTAAGTTATATTCTTCGTTTTTTCGAATTTGACAAATCGTTCTCTTTTTTTTTGAAGCAAAGCATCAATCAATCAATTATTGCCTACCTTTAAACAGAATGAAGTATTCAATTTTTTTTTCATTGTTGTTTGCTTCTAATTAAAATTGTTGTGTTATTTTGATAGCTTAATAAAATAAAGTAAGATAATAAACAATGTTAGATTTATTTAAGTATTGTTAATCGATGTCTTTTTTGAGTCGATTACTTTTGATACTTGCATACAATAATCATTTTTAAATTATTGTAAACATACAGGAGAAAATATCGTCATTCATTACAAAAGAAATTGCTTTTTTTGCAGCATGAAATTTCTTAAATATGCTTTGATGTTGTGAGTTCTTCCACATATGTGAATGAAATCAATTTAATACAGAATATTTTAATTCAATGAAATACTTACTTAGAAGAAAGCAATAAGCGAACATTGACACAAAAAATACAGTCAAATGAATTGTTGATAAAATTTTTGTGTAATATTAACGAAACATTATGTACTGTATGGATTAAGACTATTCTCCATACACTATACAATATAACCGTAAATAGGTTTTTTTTATCATGTGACATTGAATTTCAAAAATCGAACTATGATTTTCTTCCGGAATGTTAACTGTAATGCCACCACAGAGTAAAGAAAAACTTTCTATTTTATTAAATGATTTTGATTAACACAGGCAAAGTCAGCACCGAATTCAAGCAAAAGTAATTTGGTTCGATTTGGCTCAGGCGAATTGAATGTAATTGTCTTTATTCGACTCAACAGCAATATCTTCATGAACTCTCAAATACTAGCAATAAAATATACCCCACTATAGAGTTCATGTTCTCTGTATCTTGTACTTTCGCTAATTATATCGATTTCTTTGTATGAGAAATCTACTAGTTCAACTATTACTTGTCTTTCTATTAAAAACGTCAGTTTCTATTGATTTATTCTAGGATTGATAATTTTTGAGGGAATAGATACAAGTGCAACTGTTTTCATGACTACTTCTCTTTCCACGTACCTAGTAAAGCTTTCTAGTTTAATCTACAGGATGCGTAAAAATGTTTTTCTATGAGGATTGCGCTGTGACTTCAAATAACATCAACAACTAATGTTATAACAAATTAAGGCAAGCCGAAATTGGCATTCATCAATACTAAATAGTGACGGTTATGGCAACTTTTTAATGTCGAATTCAAGAGATACCAAAAATTTTACAGCATATCAGCAGAGAAAAATTTCTTTCATGACGTAATTCAAACTAAATATTATTTGAAATGAAGAATATCAAAAAGGTTTATGTGTTTTTTAAGATTTGATGAATATAATCAATAATCAATACGACAATCATTATAGTTTTTACAGTACGAAGATGAAACGGATACGAATGTAAAATAATTTCAAGTAGATCAATATTTGTTTCCATGTTTGCCAAAACATATAAAATGTTTTTTTTTAAAGAGTTTCTTCATCAAAATGATTGTGTTCCGTTTCCGATAGCCATTTTCTTCAGCTTCATGTTTGAGTATTTTTCCAAAATTTCCCAGATCAGGTATTCAGTACTTTCTGATATTTATCATTTTATATGAGATCTGGTTGGAACAATCTCCTGAAAGGAATTCTTCTCTGCTGATACGTTGTAAAATTTTATAAACTTCTTGAATTCGACATTAGATAGTTGCCATAACTGTCACTATTTAGTATTGATGAATCTCATTTTTGACATGCTTTAATTTAGTATAAAACTTGTTGTTGATGTTATTTGGAGTCATAGTGTTGTCCCTTCCCTCGAAAAATATTTTTACGCACCCTGCAGCATTTAGAGTTGTTGATGTTTTGATTTTATGATTTATTATTCTTCTACATACTCTGGTCTCCTAATTGGGATGATGATTGGTCTTAAAAAACTTGACTGAAAACTAAATATCAAGGTTTTCTAATTCAAAGACTACATAATTAACCCAACCAAGAATATGAACTACCTATTACTTTCGCCAGCCGATAAGGAAAAAAAAACAATTTCTTTTTATAATATGCAAGTTCGGATTTGTACTGTAGGATCGCTTTGAAGCTAACAACTCTCTTTAAAGTGATAGATTTAGCATATAAATACACGAAAACTTCAGTGAAATTCTATGCGGAATGTAGATATATTTTACTTATGACAATGAAGGAATTATCTTTTTTTCCGTTACGAACCGAATCGAGGTTTTCTTACTCGTTTGTGTTTCTATTAAGAACCTGTCACAGTGTTCCTATTCTCGTTCCAAGTATAACTTGATGAACTCCATCCAATATTACTATTAGATTTTTTCATAGCATGAACCATACCAAAGCAAATACTAAAATACTGTTTTTGCTCCTATACAATGGCGTGGCTTTGTGTAGGCTGTGGTTGCCTAGTTGTGTTACGAGAAATCACTAGCTAGACCCTTGTTGGGACATGCCTTGGGCGACAGAAAATGTAATGATACCGTTGAATAGAACTCGTCGAGTTGTACTTGGAACACAAATTGGAACTCTGGAATAGATTGCTATGAAAATATGGATCTGCTGCTATGTTGACTTATGTTATTGATTATTACAGATGAAAATAAAAGATATTCCATAAAATTAAAATTGAGTAATAAGACAACTACAATCGAATACGAAGTTTTCTTTCGTTGATATAAACTTAGTTATAGTTGTAATATAAGTGTTCAATGCAGTGGTGACTCGACCTTTGAAACTTTGGAAGGTGTAAAACATTCTTGACTGAGGTAGTGTGTAATTTTAAAAAAAATTATTTCTAGTTATTTGCTCTGTGTTTTTTCTGCATAGGCAATAGAGTTCAATAAATATTATTGCGTAAAACAAGCATATATTAATAAGAGAGACACACACAAAGGTATACCGATAGAAAAATGGATAAGCAAAAGAGGAATATACGGATTAATCAAAACTTTCTAGAATTAAATTTTAAGTCTTTCACATTTGTTTACGCTTATGCAATTGATATTATCTACCGAAGCGGCAATTCTTTATCGGTTGATGAAAATCATGCTTGTGTTGTTGCTTTTCAAAAACGAAACCGTCGTTAAATGTAACGTATGATGTTTGTTAAAAATTTTTTGCCATCAAAGACGGCCACGTTCGTGACGACTGTTCAAAAAACGAAGCTCTTTAGACGTAAAAAAATCATAACACATTGCTGAAACGATATATCAGAATTCTTAGATCGATTATAACTGTATGGTTGTTACTTTTTCGCGAAGCGAAAATATTTTGATTTCACTTTGTATCTTGTTCGATAAGAGCTTATTTAATCCAATATTTTTTGGAAAATAGTTAACAAATCCCTACTTCATGTTTGTTTTCCCGACCTTTTAATTGGTAAAAACAACAAAAATTTTCTATTATCGGAGGAGATGTCACACTTCTGATACTTCCCCGGTCGGACCATCTCTGGTTCAATGTCATAAATGAGAAGTACTATACATTGTGATTATTTTAAGCGATTACATGTTGTCACAATATAGTGCGTCAATGGAATAATTACTTTTATTGAATACTAACTTCTTATATCAGAAGATATTTATAGTATACTTCTATTATTTTTGTTCAAAAATATTGACGAAATGCAGAAAACAAGTTACTGTTCTCTATCATTGATCAGATATGAATATAAAACTTGAATATTTTAAAATGATGTTTTTGTGTTGCATTAACAATAAAAACGGAATGAAAAACTTCCTTAAGAACAAAATAAGTATTTCATACTTATTAAATAATAAAAAAAAAATATTAAATAAATAACCATAATTATCAATAGAACAAAATATTTTTTGTCAATTCTTAACGCCGTATTTCTTTATGTATATTTTAATTAAATAATTTCAAACGGCTTAAATTAAAGCCGTGTACTCTCAATTTCAACACTTGCTGTTACAGGTGGTGGTGGTGGTTGTTCTGATTGATATTTGAGTGAAAGACCAGCAATTGCAACTTCATATGATGGGGGTGGTTCTTCGTAAAGACTAGGAATTCGTGCAAATGATGGTGGCGATTCTTCGCGTATACTAGGAGCTGGTGCAGTATTGATATTATAAGCTGGGCGAATACAAACGGTTTGTGATGGTTGTTGTTGATATTGATGTATTATTCTCGGTCTATTCAGAGTCGGAATAGAAGCACGTGTACGTTGTTGCTGTTTTCGCTTGGAAGAAATGCAACAGCTCAAACATAAACCAATGAAAAAGATCAACATGACGATTAGAAGAACGATAAGAGATGTTGGCATAGTGGATGAATATGTTGAAAAAGGTTTTTTTGTTGTTCGATCAGAAGAGCATTGTATGGAATAAGTTCCGCAGGGTTCATTTCCTATCAAAAAACAAGTATAGAAATAAAGATTTTGTATTTTCTAATAAGTTTTACTCACTTAAACAGCACCAAGTAAAACGATAGTAGTCAAAGCACAATCTTTCTATATTAACAATGTATAGTGACGGATATAAGTTAAGAACAGTGGTATTTTTAAATTTTCTTCTCAATGGTAATAGCTAGAAAGAATCTGGAAAATATTTGAGTAGCTAAAAGGATTCTCTATCAGGATTTGTGAACCTAAAAACTCCAATAAAACTGTATGAATGAGAATATCTGGAAAATCAAGACTCTACAAGACCAGTCAGTTTTTTGGCATCCATTTGAAGCTTTTTAGAAATAGTTTTATTTGATCGAACAAAATGAGCTGTCTCGGCTCTCTTCATGACCTTGCTTCATCAAAGAACATTCAATTTACAGAAGATCTAAGGCTAATTCTTCGTTTGTTTTTACGAAAAAGTTCAATGAATTCGCCGTATTAGATGCTTTTTGGAACTTTCTAAAAATTGAATGCAGTTCGATGAACTGAAGCGAGACATAGCATTTTGCTGTATCAAATAAAATTATTTCCAAAAAGCTTCAAATAGATGCCCAAAAACTGATTTTGAAGGATCTTGATTTTTCAGACATCCTCATCCATGGAGTTTTATTGGAGTTTTTAGTTTCACAAATCCTGATAGAAAAATATATTAGCTACTCATATGTTTTTTTCGAATTCTTGCTAATTATTATCATCGAGAAGAAAACTCAAAAGTGCAACTGCTCTAAACTTTTGTCCGTCACCATATATATAT